TAGCCCCGGGGCTTGAGGCCTTCCTTGTGCCCCACACCAGCCCTCCGTCCTGAGCCAGGCTCCAACCCTCCTTCCTGCTTTTGGAGTGCAGAGGAGACGAGGAGAAGAGCATCTCTGAAAAACCCAGGATGACCAATGTTGCGTTTGGTTAACTCTTTTTAACCTTATTGCTTGCCTCCTTCCTGATTTTCCCCGGCTCCAGCCCGGCTCGCTGCCCAGGTATGTCAGAGAGCTGCTTTGGGGATGCTTCATCAAGTCACCACCTCCCAAACAGGTCCATCTGCCACGCTGTGAGCAGGGAGAGGTTGGTTTCAAATTATCCGTTTGGGTTTTATAGCGATTTACGGCAGAGGAGCAAACGCTCCATAAACGCCGTGTTTACAGGGCAGCGCCATCCCTCCCGCCGGCGCTGCGCCATCAGGGCCGGGCGCTGGGATCGCTGGGATCGGGCTCTGCCCCAGGATGCTTGTGGTCGTAATTCCTGCAGATTTTCACCTAGGTGGATCTTGGAGCAGGCCAGCGGGCCTTTGGGAAACGATGCAACTGGATTTTATTCCCCAGCTGGGAAAGCTGTTTCACTCTCCCTTTCCTCTGTGCGGGTCTTCATCCTCCTTCCCAAGCTGAAAACGCCTCCCCGTCGGCTTTCGCAAGCCTCAGCCTTTTGCCACTCTCACCACAGGGATGACTCCACCCAGGAGATCCCTCATCTGGATTCGCCTGGTCTCTCCTCCCAATCTCTTTTTAGGGCTTCCCGTGCCCCATCAAGCTGTGCACATCCTTTGCTCGGGGCTGCAAGCCGCTGGCTGTGTTTATTTTGGAGGGATGCTGGAAGCAGCACCGTCCCTTGACGCAGCACTGTCCGGGGAACGCGGAGGCACATCTTTGTGCCGGCGAGTAGGGGCGAGCCCTTGGTGTGCTTCCCTGTGGCCCACAGTTCCTAAAATGGGACTTGGAGCACCCAAATCCGGAGGTGCTGAGTGCGTGTTTTCCCCTCGCAGGGCTGGTGTGACCCCGTGACTCTGAGCAAGGCGCAGTCACGCCAGCTCATCCTCTGGCTCCTGACGTCGCGGGGGGATGGCCTTGAGCCTTTTGGGGTGGGTTTGCTCTGGGTATCGCTGTGGGGCTGGCTTTTCCAGCAGCCCCCCCAGGGAGGGGGTGCAACACAGGGGTAAGTGGTTTGTGCGGGGCAGGAGGCTGCGAGCTCCTTGCAAAGCAGCTAAAAGTGACACCAAGTCTTAACAGAACGCAGAATGACCCCGTCAAACCCCAGGTCCCTTTGTGGGGGCAAGATCTGGCTTTTCTAGGGACAATAGATGTGTTTTTCAGAAACTCCTTGGTGCCTCTCCATGTCCGGAGATGGTGAGACAAGCACCGCTTGCTAACGCTTCGCGTCCCCCGGTGACGGGAGCAGGTCACTCCGTGTAGCAGCAGGGAGGGTTGGGAGCTGTGAACTGCCTGCAAGAAGGACTTGTAACAAAGACCTAAGTTATTTTTGGAGAAGGAAGGAAAGAAAAAAGAGGAAATGTTTCTATTTGCTCATCTCCTTCGCTGCCCAGGCTTGGAGTCTCCCTGTCGTGGGGAATTCCTCCAGTTGCAGGCTCCAAGTTCCCTCGGAGATGACCTCCCTGAGGTGTGTGTGCGAGCTGGCTGCAGGGCTCCTTGGTTTGAGCGGTCAGCTAGCAGAGTGCCTGCTTCTCTGGGTTCTTCCCCAGCTGTCTCTCACAGCTGCGTTTCTTCAGGGCAGCACAGAGCCTGCAGAGACACCCAGTACAGAAACCCTTCTCCAAGGGCACTCCCCCTCTCCTGGTTGGGACAGGCTGGGAATCTCTGCCTTCGAATCCTGGCTCACGTCCTGTATGGCAGGGACTTTCCTTTGGGCCTCAGTTTCTCCAAATTGGGCTGTTTTAGTGAGCCTCAGACAGCATCCCCCGTGGCTTCATCGATCCATTGCCTGAGGGATGCGGCTCTAAATGACGACTGTTTCTTCCTCTGGTGTCCGTGCTGCAGCTTCAAGCACTGGCTGCAGGTAGCTCCTGAAATAGTTCTTGAATAGTGGGATTTTAGGGCATTCTTCTCCCTGCTTGGGTCTGGGCTGCCCATTAATAGCCTAAATCTTCTGGCTCAGCTTCCTCCCAAAAATGGAGAGGAGCTGCTGAGCCAAAATGCTTCAGGTCTCACCTGGGTGTTGCGAAAAAGTCTGTGATGCCGGAGCACCCATGGCTCTGCAAACAAAAGGTTGTTGCGTATTCCCTTCCCCAGGGGATTTACCTTCCCAACAGGACGGGACAGGGACAGGCTGAACTGCGCTGTGCAGTGGGATGAGGGAGTTTGGCCACGATTCTTCGGGCTCAGCAGTTCTTTCCCACGTAAGGGCTGGGACCTGCTCCGTGCAGGAACATGCCTGGCTCTCCCATCTTCCCTCGGAGCTCCAGGGAGTGAAGGCCTTCAAGGCAGGAGGGTGTTGGAGCCAGATATATTCATGTTTTTAAGAGGGTTCCCCAGGTGCCGTGAGGTGTCCTCTGTCCCCCTGGTAACTTTTACACTGAGGCTGGATGATTTTCCAAAGGGCCTTCTCCGGCTCTAATAATAATTCCGGAGGAGAAACCAGTTTTTGGGGACAGGTCAGACTCGACAAGCACAGTACCGTCAAGTTTTGGGTTTAAATCTACTGTTTGTCCGGTGAAGGTTGGGAAAGACGTATGGGGTCACCAAAATAACGTGCATAGGGGTGATGTGTTGCCGCGGCTCAGCTGAGCCGGGCTCGCTTGTTGCCAGCCAGAGCAAATAAACGGCTGAGATTACACCCCGGACGAGTAATCTCCCTGCCTGAATGCCAAGGATGTGCGAGACGGGGACCTAAATAGGTCTGTAAGCTCCGGGGGCAGGAAGAGGCCGGTGGGTCAGCTGGGAAGGGATCTAGGATTTGGGTGTAAGGGGATTTCTAGGATTTCTAGTGACTGGTTTTGCAGCAGCAGAGGAGCAGCGTACGCTGTGTCGAGGTTCCGGGGCTGCTGGCGGCAGAGCTTGGCGTTGGAGCAAACTCTGCAGCTGCGAAGGGGTTAACTGAGGTTGAGTCAAGCCGCCCTGATTCTTGAGAAAGCGGCAGCGGCGTGATGTGATGCGTCCTAGTGATGTAGCCTCGCCCCAGCCGAGGCAAACGGCTTGGGATTAATTGAGCTGCCTTTCTCCCATGGATCCGTCCATATCCGCGCTGCCCTCCGCACCCTCCGAGTCCCCGCGGCTGTGTGGCCGGGCAGTCCGTACCAGCCTGGGTTTGAAAGTCTGGGGTGGCTCTCTGCTGCCTGGCATCGATACCAGCGTCGTGGTCAGCGCAGAACCCTCCGTCTCTGCCCGGGATGCTGAAACTGCGCCGAGATTTCGCACAGGTTTAGCACACGGCGCGCGTGCTGGAGGAATGTTGGGTTCGGAGCATCTTTTATACCTGGATACCACATCTCTCCCCAACCAGGGTTTCCCATGGCAAGTCCCTGAGACCAAGGAGGGGACTCATCCATGACAGAGACAAACAGAGTCCAAAGCCTTGATTTATTTCTGTTCT